TGAGCCATCAGATGGAAGATCTCTCTCTCTCTCTCTCTCTGCATAAATTTGACTTTCACATAAATAAATACATCTTTAAAAAAACCAAAAAGCATATCATAAAAATTTTCCCCCTTTCAGTAATTTCTTCTTGAACAATATGCAGTATACATGCAGCTACACAAAATTACTGTGAACCTTTATCCTGCCTTCTGAGATAGTAAAAGTATATTAAATTAGATTTCATATGATAATAAGCTTCTTCAAATATAAACCAAAAGAACACAGTGACCATATATATACGCTGAAATGTGAAGAACAACTTTATGGTCTCCAGATAATTTATTTTTATGAATCCCAGGACTTTTTTTTTTTTTTTAGTAGCAGCTTTTCTAAGGTCTAATTGATAGGCAAAGATTGTGTTTATAGGAGCTTTTTTTCTAAGTTTTTAAAAAAATTATTTGAAAATATTGTATATAGAGGAGAGACCCAGAGAGATCTCCCTTCTGCTTGCTCACATCACAGATGGCTGCATTGAGCAGGGCCAGGAAAGAATGAGGTCAGGAACCAAGATCTTCATCTGGATCTCCCACATTGGTAGCATTTGCCCAAGTATTTGGATCATCTTCCATTGCTTTTCTCAGGCCATCAGCAGGAAGCTGGATCAAAAGCAGAACAGCCAGCACATGAACCAGTGCTCATATGGGGTGCTTGTATTGCAGACGGCAGGTTTACTTGCTATGTGACAATGCTGGCCCTGTTTTATGGGAACTTCCAAATGAAATTCTGAAGTTGTATGCATTGTAGTTTGCATGTAATTCAACTTTCTGCCATACTTACTGATATATATCAGCATTTGATGTAGGACAAATCGGAAAACACAATGGCTTAACAAATAGCCATTTGATTTGCAGTTCTGACTCTGTGTTTTGGGCTGTACTCAGCTGGGCAGTTCCTATGATCAGTCCAGGAGCAGAAATGAGAGTTTAGCCATCTGGGGAACTGATTGAGGCTTCACTTAAGTGTCAGGAGTTTGTGGTGAATCTTGGTTATGTATTATCTCTTTTTTTCTTTTTTTGACAGGCAGAGTTAGTGAGAGAGAGAGAGACAGAGAGAAATGCCTTCCTTCCATTGGTTCACCCCCCAAATGGCTGCTATGGCCAGCATGCTGTGCTGATCCAAAGCTAGGAGACAGGCACTTCCTCCTGGTCTCCCATGTGGGTGCAGGGCCCAATAACTTGGGTCATCCTCCACTGCCTTCCCAGGCCACAGCCGAGAACTGGACTGGAATAGGAGCAACTGGGTCATAACCAGCACCCCAACTGAGACTGTCACCTGGAATACCAGTGCCACGGGTGGAGGATTAGCCTAGTGAGCCACGGCGCCAGCCTACATACTATCTCTTCAACAGGCAGGCCCCAGGGTTTTACAGAAGATAACTGTTAGAAAAAGAAAAGCTGAGAAGGCAAATACTTTACAAATTGTCTATTTCTGGGGCTGGTTCTGTGACATAGCAAGTAAAGACACCGCCTGCAGTGCCAGCATCTCATATGGGTGTCAGTTCATGACTCAGCTGCTCCACCTCTGATCCAGCTCTTTGCTACAGCCTGGGAAAACAGTAGAAGATGGCCCAAGTCCTTTGGCCCCTGCTCCCTTGTGGGAGACCTGAAAGAAGCTCCTGGTTCATATCTTTGGATCTACACAGCTCCAGCCATTGCAGCCATCTGGGGAGTGAACCTGCAGTTCGAAGACCTCTCTTTCTCCCTCCTTCTCTCTCTCTTTCTTTCTCTCTCTTTTCTCTGCCTCTCCTTCTCTCTTTGTGTAACTCTTTCATATAAATAAATATTTTAACAAATTGTCTATTTCTATCACATTTACTGGTATCTCATGGGGTAAATCAATTGAAATGGTGAAATTCATGGTCTTTTTCAAAAAGATTTATTTATTTATTTGAAAGAGTTACACACAGAGAGAGGGAGAGGCAGAGAGAGAGATAGAGAGCTCTTCCATCTGCTGGTTCACTCCCCACTTGGCTGCAATGGCCAGAGTTGTGCCAATCCAAAGCCAGGATCCAGGAGATTCTTCTGGGTCTTCCACATGGGTACAGGGCCCAAGGACTGGGCCATCTTCTACTGCTTTCCCAGGCCATAGCAGAAAGCTGGATCAGAAGTGGGGCAGCTGGGAATCAAACCAGTGCCTATATGGGATGCCAGTCTGCAGGTGGCAGTTTTACCCGCTAGGCCACAGTGCCAGCCCCAATCCAGGGTTTTGTGAAGGGATGAATACAGGGAAAGGTGCTACTTGGAATCATTACTGGTAAAGTGCACTGCATTAAATATACATTATGTGTATTTGTTAACTTTCTTTAGTATAAACTTTAATAACAACATAATGTTTATCTCTGATAACCTTATTCATTTGAACACTCAACTTTTCTTTTTACTTTTACATTATTATTTTACAAAATTTGTAGATAATGCTTTCGTTAAACCAATGATAACTTCTGTTTAATCTCTGCCACTTAATATAGGTGGGTGCATTTTCCTATGTATTTTATTTTTACAGGATTATTCCTCCACAGTGAACCTGATGTTTTCTTGGTTAATGTATTTATTATTCTTTATTCATTCTATTATATCATTTTTTTCCCCACTGTTCAGTGCAGAAGGAAACCAGAGGGTTTTTTTTTTTTTAAAGATTTCATTTATTTATTGAAAGAGTTGCAGAGAGAGAAAGTCTTCTATCTGCTGGCTCACCCTCCAAATTACTGCAAAGGCCGGAGCTCAGCCGATCCAAAGCCAAGACCCAAGAGCTTCTGGGTCTCCCATGCAGGTGCAGTGGCCCAAGGACTTGGGCCATGTTCCACTGCTTTCTCAGGACATAGCAGAAAGCTAGATTGTATGTTGAGCAGGCAGGACTCAAACCAGAACCCATATGGAATGCTGGCACTGAAGGCAGCAGCTTTACCCATTATGCCACAGCGTTGGCCTCCCGAGTTTTCTTTGAACTCCTGCCATTCACCTTCTCTCCCAGGTATGATTCTGGGTCCTCCACATGTTTCTAAGAGGAAAGAAAATTAATATATCACCTGTAAGTGTTTTTTTTTTTTTAATTATTCCCCAGCTTGTCAGTACTCATTTTAGGTGTTTAATGCTAGTTTATTTTTTTAGATTTTTTTTTTATTTATTTGAAAGTCAGAGTTACAGAGAGGCAGAGGGGGAGAGAGAGAGAGAGTCTTCCATCTGCTGGTGCACTCCCCAGTTTGCCACAATGGCCGGAGTTACACTGGTCCAAAGCTAGAAGTGAAGAGCTTCTGGGTCTCCCACATGGGTTCAGGGGCCCAAGGACTTAGGCCATCTCCTACTGAATCCCCAGGCCATAGCAGAGAGCTGGATTGGAAGTGAAGCCACTGGGACTTGAACTGGCACCAATATGGGATGCCAGCACGAAGGCAGTGGCTTTACCTGCTAGCCACAGTGCCAGTCCCAGTATACTAGTTAAATTGGAAAATATGGGGCCGGCTCTGTGGCTCAGTGGGTTAATGCCCTGGTCTAAAGCATCGACTTCCCATATAGGCACCAGTTTGAGACCCGGCTGCTCCACTTCTGCTCCAGCTCTCTACTATGGTCTGGGAAAGCAGTGGAAGATGGCCCAGGTCCTTGCGCCCCTGAACCCATGTGGGAGACCCAGAAGAAGCTCCTGGTTCCTGGCTTCAGATTGGTGCAGTTCCAGCCATTGCAGCCAATTGGGGACTGAACCAGCAGATGGATTCCTCTCTCTCTCTCTCTGCCTCTCCTCTCTCTGTGTAACTCTGACTTTCAAATAAATAAATAAATCTTTAAAAAATTTTAAAATAGAAAAATAAACATAAAATTTATTATCACAGAATATACAGAAATGAATTATGAATTTGGCATGATTATGAAACATTACTGTCATCTATAATAATGCAGTTTGGTCTCTTGTCTTTCTGTTGCTATTGCAAAATATATATTTGTTACATGAATTGAGTTGAAACTAAGCACAATATGCTACCTTTTTGGGGTCATGTCTGAAACATTCTACACATAGATGATGTACTGAACAGTGTTTTAGTGCTACCTATGAAGTAAACACTTAGCATTCTGCAAGAGGAAGAGTTACCTAGTGCTGGAACACAAATCAGTTAAGTTTGTTTTCAAATTGTTAGAGTAATGGAGTTCTTAATACCTTTGAGAAGCTGAATTGGATTCTGGAATAGGATAAGGAATGTGTGGAGAAAAGAATCTACTGGAGGCTCATTTATTTTTTTAAGATTATTTATTTGAAAGGTGGACTTGCAGAGATTGGGAGAGACAGGGAGACAAAAGGATATATCTTCTTTCTAGTGTTCATTCCCCAAATGCCCACAATGGCTGGGACTGGGCCAGGCCAAAGCCAGGAGCCTGGGACTCCATGGGTCTCCCACATTGGTGGAAGGGTCCAAATACTCAGGCCATTTTCACTGCTCTTTCAATCAGGTTAGCAGGGAACTAGATTGGAAGTGGAACAGCAAGGACTCAAGTCCTCTGTTTACATGGGATGCCAGCATTGTTGGTGGAGGCTTAGCCTGCTGGATCACAATTCTGGTGACTATTGCAGGTTCTGAAACAAATCTCTAAGCATTTTTCTCAGTGAGTCACAAATGCAGATTGTACTGCAGACATTCCCAGGTTCTCTTTTTGGGCAAATAATTCCATTGCTTTCATTTAATTATGTATAATGTCATTTCAAATGTTTATCATTTGAATGTTTTGGGCAAGTATTTCCATTGCTTTCACTTTAATTAGGTATAATGTTATTTCATTGTTTATCACTAGAATAATCATAGACAAGGGCAAAAGCTAATTTGTATTCTTTGTCTTACCTGTATTTTCTCTCTTACTTAAAAATATTTATTAGCTTGATAGAGAAAAAAGTTGATGGACTGAGAGATAGAGAGCTTTGACACGTTAATTCACTTCCTAGATAACCATACCAAACAGGTGGGGCTAGGACTGAAGCCAGGATTGAGGAATGGAGTCTAGGCCTCCTTCATTGGTGACATCACCATTGCTTCCCCAGGTTTGCATTATCTGGGAGCTAGAAACTAGAGCTGGCATTGGAAATCACAGACACTCTGAGGTGGCATCATAAACAACACTAAGCTAAATGTCTGCCCTGTCTTTTAATATATTTTTCCTCTGACATATTGGAAATGATATGCATGGTGTTTTCCTGGAAATTGTTTTCTGTTCATTCCCATCGTAGTTTCACTGATAGTTTCTTGCCTTTTTTTCTCAATGCTTCTACATACTTCTCCTTAACATTGCCCAGTCAAGAGTCAGTATTGCCCCTCTTCTAGCCTGCTGTGCAATTCCCCTTGACAGATGTGGCCTTTGTGATTTGAACCTCCTGTTTCCCTCCAGCTTGGGCATGTCTCACAGCCTGTAGATCATGGGTTTGACTCTGTTGAATGCTCCGTGTGGCTTTCTAAACACTCCACAAGTCTAATGTGAAACCATATCCTTCCTTTTTTCCTTCATATCCATACACAACTGTCAGTGTTTATTTTGTGACAGAGTTAACATGTTGACTGGAAGTGTATTATTATAGGTGATGACAGCATTTGAAGACCTGGCTGTGTACTTTACATGGGAGGAATGGCAGAAAATGAACAATGCTCAGAAAATCCTGTACAAAGATGTGATGCTGGAGACCTACAGCAGCCTGTTCTCCTTGGGTGAGTGACACCCATCACATGCCCAGTGATAACATTTTCTTGCTATTTGACAAATAAGGGAACACTTTATAATGTTTAATATTGGGCAGGATTAGAATTTGAGTCCATGAATAATCTGAATATCTACCATCTAACAAAAGATTCAAATTGGAACATTTGTTGCATAGCTCCTGAACCAAGCTGTAGTCCTTTAAATAACCCAAGATAGTGATTTTACAAAGTCTTACTTTGTTTCCATTAATAGGGCACTGCATTACCAAACCTGACTTGATCTTCAAGTTGGAGCGAGGAGAAGAGCCATGGATGGTGGATGAATGCTTGAATCAGAGCCTTTCTGGTCAGTCTGCACATAAGAGACAGGGAGGCCAAGGCAGAAAGTGTGCAGATGTTGACTGGTGTTCTTTCCATGAATTTTTCGCAAGCCTTACTCCTGATGACAGCTGCTTTTGTGCATCAGACACAGGCATTTAGAGATACCAATATCTTTCTAACTTTTGTTCTTAGTGAAGATGTTCTTAGATTAAAAAAAAAAATCCAGTCATTTTCTGATGTTACTAAGGCTTTTATCTAGGTTTGATACATTCCCCCAATTCTAACTTGTCCTTCTCTACACTTTCATACCTTTTCCTTCATGCACTTATTAGTTCCTTCAGTGCTTGTTAATTAGGCAACATACAGAAACTTTTTTTTTTTTAAGATTAATTTTTCTGTGTGTTTTTTTTTTTTTTTTGACAGGCAAGAGTGGACAGTGAGACAGAGAGACAGAGAGAAAGGTCTTCCTTTTGCCATTGGTTCACCCTCCAATGGCCACCATGGCTGGTGTGCTGTGGCTGGCACACCATGCTGATCCAAAGCTAGGAGCCAGGTGTTTCTCCTGGTCTCCCATGCGGGTGCAGGGCCCAAGGACCTGGGCCATCCTCCACTGCACTCCTGGGCCACAGCAGAGATCTGGCCTGGAAGAGGGGCAACTGGGACAAAATCCAGCACCCCAACCAGGCCTAGAACCTGGTGTGCTGGTGCCGCAGGCAGAGGATTAGCCTATTGAGCTGCCATGCCAGGCTGTTTCTGTTTTTTTTTTTTTTTTTTTTTTTTTTTTTTAAGATTTATTTATTTATTTGAAAGTCAGAGAGAGAGGAGGGAGAGGCAGAGAGAGAAAGAGAGGTCTTCCATCCACTGGTTCACTTCCCAATTGGCTGTCATGGCTGGGGCTGTACTGATCTGAAGCTAGGAGCCAGAAGCTTCTTCCAGGTCTCCCATATGGGTACAGGGGCCCAAGTACTTGGGCCATCTTCTACTGCTTTCCCAGGCCATAGCAGAGTGCTGGATCAGAAGTGGAGCAGCTAGGACTTGAACTGGTGGCCATAAGTGATGTTGGCACTGCAGGTGGTGGCTTTATGCTATGCCACAATGCCAGCCCCCAGAAACTTATTTCTAACTCATTGCTCAGATTGAGTTCCCACTCATGATTTTGCCCAGACATAGAACTTGCTCAGGACTGAATCAATAAATGTGAACTCTCTCTTTCTTAGTCTCTTTCTTTTCTTTTCCTCTGTGCCTCTCAAATAAATAAGAAAATTATAGTCTGTTGGAAACATTTGAGGAGTGAGCCTACAGTTGGCAAACCTCTGTTTCAGTCTGTCTTTATCTCTCATTCTGTCTCTCTGACTCTCAAGTAGGTAAATAAGTAAATGCTAAAAGATGGTCATGTGGCTGGCACTGTGGTGCAGTGAATTAACACCCTAGCATGAAGCACCAGCATCCCATATGGGCACCAGTTCGGGACCCAGTTGTTCCACTTCCAATCCAGCTCTCGGCTATGGCCTGGGAAAGCAGTAGAAGATGGTCCAAGTCCTTGGTCCCCTGCACCTGAGGGAGACCCAGAAGCAGCTCCTGGCTCCTGGCTTCAGATCAGCACAGTTCTGGCCATTGTGGCCAATAGGGGAGTGAACCATTGGATCAAGACCTTACTCTCTCTTTGCCTCTCCTCTCTCTGTGTAACTCTGACTTTCAAATAAATAAATAAATCTTTAAAAATAAAAGATGGTCATGAGTAAGCCTCTGTGCTGTGACATCAGAAATTATGAAGCTAGGAATGACACTGTGGTGCAGTGTGTTAAAGCTCCAGCCTGCAACACTAGCATTGCATATGGGTGCCAGTTCAAGTCCCAGCTGGTCCCCTTCTAATCCAGCTCTCTGCTAATGCACCTGAGAAAAGAGCAGAGGTTGGCCCAAATCCTTGGCCCCCTGTACCCATGTGGGAGACAAGAAAGACACTCCTGGCTCCTAACTTCATTTTGGCCCAGCATTGGTTGTTGTTCCCATATGGGGAGTGAACCAGCAGATGGAAGACTTCTCTCTGTCTCTCTCTCTATAATTCTAGCTTTCAAATAAAGTAAATCTTTGAAAAAAAAAAAAAGAAATCCTAAACTAAGGATGAACTTACATAAAACATGAAAATAAGTGATCCTAGACTCACCAAGAAAATACTGAGATTTTGAGACCCAAGGTCAAGTAGCCTCTTGGGGTTATGTTGAGTGGCTCAGATTTCTTTAAGGGTGGAGTTTGAAGTATGATTTCTCTCTTATTTTTCAGTATCATTGAAAAATAAGCAAACAAAAAGACAAGAAAAGCATAGGAAATGAAGCTTTCAGTGAAAATAGGAGGCAACTGATCAAAAGCCTCCAGAAATTCAAATTATCACACAGGAATGTTTCTAGAAAGAATTTAGAGGAGGTAACCAGCACTGATAATTTCAGAATGAGTTAGAAAACACTTTTCAAAGATGAGCAATTCCCGGTTTGCAGAAACAAATTCTTCAAACTGATTGGGAGTGTTTAACTAAAGTGGTATTTTGGGAATTTTCTGTACCTGTTGTACTTCTGAGAAGCTGAAGGTGTTGGGTGTCCTTAGGAATTTGGGGAAGCTGTCATAGAGTAGAGACAAAGTCATTTTTCATTTGAAAAATCCCACAAATGATGTTTACCTAGGAAGACTGAGCATGAGACACTCATAGATTCAAATCCTACTCCTTAAATATTGTCCTGCTTAAAGTACAGGCACATTTCACTCTTCTCCACCTGCAAGTAAATGATCAGTAAAACTTTTTCATGTTTATGGTTGAGATATCAGAGAAGCAAAAAGCACACAATTTTTATAAAAATAAACTGGAGAAAAAGGACAGGGAAAAAAAATGGTTGCTAGGTAGTGGGTGAATATTTTTATTAAATATTTGCCCATTCTTTAAAATATTTTATAGTTATTTCATCTTTGTGAAAGGCAGAGTGATAGTGAGAGAAGAGAGAGAGAGAAAGAGGTCCTCTATTAGCTCACTTCCCAGATGCCTGCAATACTTAGGTCTAACTAGTCTGAAGCCAAAACTCTAGAATCCCTCTAGTCTTCCCTGGTTTCTCACAGGTTCCCAGGCACATGAACCATTATCTGGTTCCTTCCAGTTTACATAGGCAGAGAGCTGTACTGAAAGCAGAGTAGCCAGGGCTCAAACCGACACTGTTTTGAGATGCAGGCATCCCACACATCATAGCACAAAAGTCATTCTACCATCCTTGACAAATTCCCATAGTAAAAAGGATCATGTTTGAACATTGGGAAACTTCATGGTATATTAATGTATTAAGGAGAAAAGCCATATAATGGTCACAAATAAGTACCTCATACTGATTTTGTGAACATCTTATGCCACTTGGATTACAAGTAACTTCATTCCCTTTACCTGAGTATGGCAGGAGAAACAGTTACATGTGATTCAGTGACATGATTGCTTTTTTCTCATTTCAGTGGTCATGAAAAGGGATGACCTGATTAGGATCAACCAGGAAAGTCAGGACAAAAATCTGAATCAGGATTTTATGAAAAATAACAAGACATCAGCTCTCAAGGGAATTGAATTAAGAAAAACACTTAGTTTAAATTCAAGCCATGTTCCAACACTGATTATTAAAAAGGGAATCTATTCAGGATTGAAGCCTGAGGAATGCAATAAATGTCACACTGTGTATCCCCCCAGTGGGCCTGATCAACTACAGGCTGGAGAGAAATTTGATAACACTAAGATACCTGGAAAATCTCTCCAGTTCTGTGAGCCTCTTAGCCAGCTTGACAATATTCACATCATGAAGCAGCCATTTGGACCCACTGGACAAGCAAAAGTCTTCACAAGAAAGATGTTCTGCAAATCTGAGAGGGTTCATATGGCAGAAAACTGTAATAAGTCAACTGTCACTTTTGGAAAAGCAACACAAATAGAAAAAGCTATCCATGAAAATTCTAGCCTCAATATGCATCAACAAACTCACACAAGAAAGAAATTTTATAAGTACATTATGTATTTTGAACCTGTCATTCACCAGTCACATCTTGCAATAAACCAGAGACTAAATACAAGGGAAAAACTTTACACATGTAAACCTTGTGGAAAATCACTCAGTTTTAATTCACCTTCTGAATGTAATGACTGTGGAAAAGCCTTTAGACAAAGTCAGTCCTCAGGAAACATCAGCAAATTCACACAGGGGAGAAACCTCATGAATGTAGTGACTGTGGAAAACCTTTAGACAAAAGTCAGTCCTCAGGAAACATCAGCAAACTCACACAGGGGAGAAACCTCATGAATGTAGTGACTGTGGAAAAGCCTTTACACAAAAGTCAAACCTCATCAAGCATCAGCGAATTCACACAGGAGAGAAACTTTATAAATGCCTTGAATGTGGAAAAGGCTTTCTGTGGAAGTCAGACCTCATAGTACACCAGAGAATTCACACAGGGGAGAAACCTCATAAATGTAATGACTGTGGAAAAGCCTTTGCACGAAAGTCATCCCTCCTCATACATCAGCGAATTCACACACGGGAGAAACCTCATGAATGTAATGTCTGTGGAAAAGCTTTTGGACGAAAGTCAATCCTCATCATACACCAGCAAATTCACACAGGGGAGAAACCTCATAAATGTAATGACTGTGGAAAAGCCTTTGGACAAAAGTCAGACCTCATGAAACACCAGCGAATTCACACAGGGGAGAAACCTCATAAATGTAATGACTGTGGAAAAGCTTTTGGACAAAAGTCTATCCTCATCATACACCAGCGAATTCACACAGGGGAGAAACCTCATAAATGTAATGACTGTGGAAAAGCCTTTGGACAAAAGACACACCTCCTCATACATCGGCGAAATCACACAGGAGAGAAACTTCATAAATGTAATGACTGTGGAAAAGCCTTTGGAGAAAAGTCAAACCTCATCATACACCAGCAAATTCACACAGGGGAGAAACCTCATAAATGTAATGACTGTGGAAAAGCTTTTGGACGAAAGTCACACCTCATCATACACCAGCAAATTCACACAGGGGAGAAACCTTATAAATGTAATGACTGTGGAAAAGCCTTTGGACACAAGTCAGGCCTCAGGAAACATCAGCGAATTCACACAGGAGAGAAACCTCATAAATGTAATGACTGTGGAAAAGCCTTTGGGCAAAAGTCAGAGCTCCTCATACACCAGCGAATTCATACAGGGGAGAAACCTCATGAATGTAGTGACTGTGGAAAAGCCTTTACACAAAAGTCAAACCTCATCAAGCATCAGCGAATTCACACAGGGGAGAAACCTCATAAATGTAATGACTGTGGAAAAACCTTTGGACAAAAGTCAAAGCTCCTCATACACCAGCGAACTCACACAGGGGAGAAACCTCATGAATGTAATGACTGTGGAAAAGCTTTTGGACGAAAGTCATACCTCATCATACACCAGCAAATTCACACAGGGGAGAAACCTTATAAATGTAATGACTGTGGAAAAGCCTTTGGACACAAGTCAGGCCTCAGGAAACATCAGCGAATTCACACAGGAGAGAAACCTCATAAACCTCATAAATGTAATGACTGTGGAAAAGCCTTTGGACAAAAGTCAAACCTCATCATGCATCAGCGAATTCACACAGGAGAGAAACCTCATAAATGTAATGACTGTGGAAAAGCCTTTGGACAAAAGACACACCTCATCGTGCACCAGCGAATTCATACAGGGGAGAAACCTTATAAATGTAATGACTGTGGAAAAGCCTTTGGACAAAAGTCAAACCTCATCATGCATCAGCAAATTCACACAGGGGAGAAACCTTATAAATGTAATGACTGTGGAAAAGCCTTTGGACAAAAGTCAGACCTCCTCATACACCAGCAAATTCACACAGGGGAGAAACCTCATAAATGTAATGACTGTAGAACAGCCTTTGGACACAAGTCATGCCTCATATTACATTAGAGAATTCACACAGGGCAGAAACTTCATGAATGTAATGACTGTGGAAAAGCCTTTGGACAAAAGATTAACCTCATATCACAGCAGAGATTTCACACAGGGTAGAAAACTCGATTGTAATAACTGTGGAAAGCATTTAGCCATAAGTCAACCTTCATCATGCATCAGAGAATTCACACAGGGCAGAAACCTTATGAATGTAATGACTGGAAAAGCCTTTGGACAAAAGTCAAACCTGAATGCACCAGAGAATGCACACAGTATTGAATTTCATGAGTGTAATGACTGTGGAAAAACTTAATCTCCAACTCCAAATGCTTCAGAGGATTCACACAGGGAAATAACCTTATAAATGTAATGACTGCAGAAAAGCCTTTTTCTATAAGTTATACTCATATCAAAACAGTTCACACAGGGCAGAAACCTTATGAATCTAGTAAGTGTGGAAAAGCCTTTATAAATTATATGTTATTAATCATAGCTCATATCACACCAGAGAATTCACACCGGGGAGAAACTTCATGAATGCAATGACTGTGGAAGAGCCCTTGGCAATAAGTCACATCTCAGAATGCATCAGAAAATGCACAGGAAGAGAAACCTTTTGGACATAATGACTTGGAAAGCTTTTCCCCATAATTCAGCCCTCATTGCACATCATCTAATTCATATGGGGGAAAACACTTTGGGTATAATGCATATGGAAAAGCCTTTATCCATAAGTAACACCTCATAAAACATCAGAATTCACATGGGGGAGAAACCTTATGAATGGAATGAATGTTGGAAAACTCTGCCAAAATCACACAATATAACATCAGAGAATTTATTACATGGTGGAAATCTTGTAATAAATGTGGGAAAGCCTTTTGTCAGAAGGAATACCTCATAACATGTAGATCAAACAGGGGAGAGAACTTAAGAATATAGTAAATATGAAGGACTTTTTGCAAAAGCAACATAACCATGTGACAGAGCCTTTTGCTGGAAATTACATCCCATACAATAGGCACTCCCATAAGGAAGAAAGGTTGGGACCAGCGCTGTGGCACAGTAGGTTAAAGCCCTGGCCTGAAATGCTGGCATACCATGTGGGCACTGGTTCTAGTCCCAGTTGCTCCTCTTCTGATCCAGCTCTCTGCTATGGCCTGGGAAAGCAGTAGAAGATGGCCCTGCACCCACATGGGAGACCCAGAAGAAGCTCCTGACTCCTGGCTTTGGATCGCTGCAGCTCCAGCCATTGCATCCATCTGGGGAGTGAAGTAGCAGATGGAAGACCTCTTTCTGCTTCTCTGTCTCTCTAACTCTGTCTTTCAAATAAAAAAATTAAATTGTTAAAAAAAGAAGTTCAGAAATATTATTAGTGTGACAAAAAGCCATTTGTCAGAAATGGCATTATACATCAGAAAATTCACCCAAGGTGTTTCTTAGCAGTGTAATGAATGTGGAAGTATATTTTCATAGAATTCAGGCTTGCATAAATATGCAACTCAAAAAAGGTGATATCCTTCAAGTGCAACAGACCTCAAAAAACCATAGCCAGAAATTAAACATCAGGCTGGCACCATGGAGCAATAGGTTAATCCTCCACCTTCTATGCTGGCATCCATATAGGTGCCAGTTCTAGTCCCAGCTGCCCGTCTTCAATCCAGCTCTTTACTGTGGCCTGGGAAAGCAGTAGAAGACAGCCCAAGTGCTTGGGCCTCTGCACCCACATGGAAGACCAGGAAGAAGCACCTGGCTCCTGGTTTCAGATCAGTGCAGCTCTGGCCACTGTGGCCATTTGAGGAGTGAAACAACAGAAGGAAGACCTTTATCTCTGTCCCTCTCACTGTCTGTAACTCTACCTGTCAAATAAATAAAAATATTAAAAAAAAAACAAGAAATTAAACATCAACTAACATCAGAGAATTCATACAGTAAAATGTCAATTTAATGAATGTGAAAAAATTTTTCTGCCATTAATCAATTCACATGAAGAGACTCCAAAATGAGAAAACATATGTGCATAGAAAAGTCATGTACCATGGCCATGGTGATTTCACTTTTATTGTAAGATCATCATCACCCCCAACATTCTTTAAGTTGCCCTGGAAACTGTGAGGTACACAGTGTCTCAGGGCCATTTTAGCCAAGAGTAATAATTCTTTCTCCTCAATGTAATATATATATATATATGAATATATGTAACATATATAACATATATATATTTTATACATAGATAAATTTGCCACTGTGTGTCTAGATACTAGTATATTTCCTGAAAATTATGCGGGAAAATAGTGGGATCTTAATGTGATTTTTATCCCAGAATTAGGTATGTTTATTTAATTTTAGAGGTTGGTAGACTTGGAGACACAGAGAAACAGAGATTATGAGCTACAACTTGGTGGCTTACTCTTCATTCTTGTAATGATCAGAAACTGGATTATTACAGAAAGCTGAGCTATTCTTTCTGATGATAAATACATTATAAAAATTTCAAAAGGTTGCTCTATATATTTATATTACAAATTATATATATGTACATTTATATTGTAATGTCATAAAGTAAACACACACACATATATATTATATATATAAACACCTTTAAAATTCTCCTTGTTATTGGTATAAATATTTTGAATTTTAAATATTTACTTCCTTTTAAAATTTTATTTAATATAAGTTTGATATATTTCATATATACAGACTAATGAATGTAAGTGACACTTCCCCTGATACCCTCCCTCCCACACACAGTCCAACCCTTTCTCCTCTTCCCTCTCACATTCCCACTTAACTTTTACAAAATCTGTTTTCAGTTACTTAATGATTGTATAGTTAACCCTACACTAAGTAAGAGTTCAACAAGTCATCAAATAGTATGAAGAAAAAAAATGAATTTAAAAAACTCACTGTTACTCAATGGAAGAGACAAGGACTCTAAACAATCATCAAATCTCAAAATGTGTATCTAACTCCAATACATTACATTTTAGGTACTCTATAGCTACCTCAGATCAGGGAAAATATAGGATATCTGTCTTTTGGAGACTTGTTTATTTTACTAAGTATAATGGTTTCCAGCTTCATCTATCTTGTTGCAAAAGACAGGGTTTCTTTTTCTTTCTTTCTTTTTTAATAACTGAGTAGTACGCCATAGTGTGTATATACCATAATTTTCTTATCAAGTCAACAATTGATATCTGGATTGTTCCCAGATCTCAGCTATTGTGAATTGTGCTGCAATGAACATGGGGTTATAGATAACTCTTGCATATGCTAATTTTGTTTGGGTAAATTCCATGGAGTGGGATGGCTAGATCAAATGGTAGGCCTATAATCAGATTTGTAAGATATCTCCATACAGTTTTTCACAGTGGCTTGCATCAGTTTACATTCCCACTAGCAGTGGACCAGCATAACTTTTTTCCACATCCTCATCAGCTTTGTCATTTGTTGATTTTTTTTTTTTTTGACAGGCAGAGTTAGGCAGTGAGAGAGAGAGAGACAGAGACAGAGAGAAAGTCTTCCTTCCATTGGTTCAGCCCCCAAATGGCCACTACGGCTGGTGCACTGCAGCCAGCATGCTGCGCTGATCTGAAACCAGGAGCCAGGTGCTTCCTCCTGGTCTCCCATGCGGGTGCTATTCTTTCTTCCCTAGTTCTGACTCTTAAAACTGTTCCAAATTATGGGATTTGATTCAATGCACCAGGTCTTAAATTTAAGGTTTTATTTCTGACTTTTGAACAACCAAAGGGACAGATTCTGTGTTATTTTAAAGTAATCTACTATGTTCTCTTAATGCCTCTTAAGTTCTAATTGTTTAAAACAACTGAGTTTTAAAGGAGTTATGATTTGATCAAATCTGACCCTTGGGCTAGATGGTGAAAGTGACATCTTAAGTTTTAACATATTTATATATATATATATATATATATGATTAAGTTTAAAAGTGACTGTATTTGATTGCATTAAGTTTTAAGTTGATCATGTAGGAGGCACTGTTAAAGTGATCATATCAACAGAATTAAAGAGTAGTAAATGCTTGAACATGGGAAGCAGTCCATACAGCAGACTCATAGAATGGCAATTGCTCTAAGTAATGCTCAATGACCTCAGAGTCATCCCTAAAGGCATTCTGGTCTGGCTAAAAAGCCCACAAGAGCATTTCAGGCATGGAAAGTCAGGACACTTGTGCAAAAAGGTGTGCCTACATGGAGAGTCTCCCTGGGTGAGACTCCTGTGGAAAGAAGTGGTCATCAAAGAAGGATGTACTCTCTTCAAAGGGAGAACTTTCACTTTGCTTATGGCCTTCTCTAAATATTGATGGATTTTGTAGATTCAGAAGGCTTCCATAGCCTAGACAGTTCATGTCAAGAGCCTTGGGTGATCACTGACAGCACACAAAAGAGTGTGAATTGTGAAATTAACCACAGGAGTCACTGTGCATTAACTTCCCATGCAGGACCATAAGACTATGCTTAAAAAACAGAGGGGAGAGTACGGTACCCCCACTATGAGTGTATTAACTTTGCTCCTTTCACCGTAAAGTTCTTACAGGTCTCACCCCCTGGAGAGCCACCAGCAGTGAGACACTGGAGACCTTTCACAGGTGCAACCCAATTGCCTCTGGTTTGATGGAGGGACCCAACCACCCAACAATGGAAGGGGCCTGATCCTCTCATAATGATGGGCAAAGGTTTTGCTTGTGCTTTCCAGAGATCACTCTGCAGCCTGTGTGGATAGCAACCTGAAATGCCAAACCCTGGACCCAGTCTCTGAAAGCTGACCCTCTACAAACCAACTTCAGCACCTTTCCCTGAACAAGCCATTCATAGAAAGATCCTCTTCAGATGGGCTACAGCTTAAATGGAAGGGACCTTACCAGGTGCTACTGAACATGACTACCTCAGTAAAATTAGGATTAATGTCTACCTCTCAAGTCCTCACAGGTGTACTCAAAAGATATGCCTGATTATTCCTGTAAGCCAGAGATCTTAAGCAAAAAGAAAAGTAAAGCCTTTGCTTTCCTCACATCAAGAGTGCTGCTCCTGAAGGCAGGCATGGTGTACCTGCCTCTTTGATTCTCTCTGTTATCAACAATAAAACTCCTAATGTGTTCTTCTAATATAATTCTCTATACTCAAGCTAAATGTGTTTATAATGTATCACCACCCACTATCTGGGAGTCTGTAGGATGTGGTCTTTTCATCTTAAAGGGGTACTCCAGTTACAATTGGTCATGTTCCAGTTTTGCTCATATGTATTTACAAACTTATATGTTGCAGAACTCAACAACTTCTGGGAGTCACTGACCATGCAGGGGACACAGACATTGGTGGTGACCAAGATTGCTCCAGCTCACAAAGAGAATTTGTTAGATGAGATAGGCAGAGACTTCCAGACTGAGGACAGGCAGGGCCTGCACTACATCCCTCATAAACAGGAAGCAGCTATAGAAGATGTGATGATTCTACACCCTTCAAACATCCCTAGGATTAAGGGAATGGAGTCTCTGAAGGGGGGATGATGCAGGCAGTCATATATCATTAGACTTGAGAACTGGAAGGCTACGCCTTCATCACACTGTACCCAGCCCCCATGTGATCTCATGCCCCTGCTTTCCCATACCTGTGCACCGCCTGCCAATTACAAAGGCCTGAAACATGGTGGGCCTGGCCTTTTTTCCCTTTGCCCTTCTTTTCCTCCCTGCCCTTAATCCCCATGCTAGGCGTTCTTCAATTTAATTTAAAGCTTATTGTGGGCTGCGGCTTGTTGCTGTGCCACACTAAGCAGAGTCACACTTGCCCTAAAACAAAGGGGGGAGATGTGGGTGATCCTGTGAGACTTTCTGCCTAGCCCATGTGGCTAGCCTGACTGATGGTGGGAGGTGGGAGCCTCAGGCACATTTTCTCCCACCCCCACCTTCTGCCAATTAGGTAAACTGTTGCTGGGGGTGCTCCAGGCCCACCTGGAAAGCTACCCTAACTATGAGACCTTCAAGCTAATTGGAGATGCATATTGGTGCCAGTGTTGGTTCTATCCTATAGAGTTAGGGTTGCCCTGAATTAGTTATGCCCCTTCTGCCTGCCCTTTGAAAGTGTACATGGTCATTAATAAAGGTGGACATGTTCACTGAAGCCTGTCCCTGGTGCTTCCTGTGGAAGAACACCATTGCCTCACCCTCCCCAATGGTGTGGGCCTCACAGGACAAGTCCACAGCTCTTGGCCTGCTCCCTGCTTGGTATGGCCCCTACTTAATTTCCAGACTTTCCTTTCTCCTTTAGATAGAGCCCTCACTCTCCTATGTGTTTCTCTCACTGAATAAAAGCTTAAAAACTCAGCTTATCATCTGGTCTATTTGAGCCAGTATTCAGAATTTGTCTCTGAATTCATGGCAAGAACCCACACAGATTATTAATTTCAGAAATATTAATAAGTGCTGAAGTCTCAGGGCCTAATTATGGAGTCTTTTATTTCTAAAAGCCAGTGGTTGCACAGGGGCGTGTGCTCTCCAAATCATACTGCCCTGAAGGAGCTCAAGGTTAAGCTTCTAAAGGCCAAAACCATATCTTGTTGAAGTTAATTACAAAGCCAAGCATTTGTTACAGGAGCTAGAGCAAGCAACATTATGCTTATCTTGGGGATATTAACAAGTTTCCCAGCACTTAATGTAAATAAACTTACAAAAAACCTCTCAGAAGATTAGTTTTTGAGTAGCTAGCAGTTGTGGGACTGGTTAGAAAAAAATAGAGGACAATCAGGGACAAAATGGAGTGACTCTGGTCAGGCCATAGATCATTTGTACTTGAAAATCAGTAAAACTTAGCCTGAGGATCTGCAGCACCTCCTGCATGGACCCAGAGGCCCCTCTGACTTTGACCACCTTGACCTCAGCATGACCCCGGCATGGCTCCCCATTCTCTGTTACAGGAAACTGGGTTGCCAGCATCACTGCAGAGAACAAGGACAGTCCCACAGTGACAGAGGTGGAGCCTGGAGCTGGAGTCTCTACAAGGGGCAAGGACCCATGGCAGTGTGGCCAGGAGTTCCCCATGTCTCACAGAGGACAGTGAGTGTGCCTCTGGTGGACTTCCTGTTGCTGGCAAAGGATTGCTCACTTCAGGACTGGTTACTACATGAATCATGCTGGCTGTGAGGCCTTAGCTCCATGCAAAACGTGGCTCATGCCTTGGCTGCCTAAAATTAATCTCAGACATGGCAAAGCAGGCCCCACAGCACTGCTCAGTGCATGGCATGGCCTCTGTCAGCAAGGATAGTGTCAACATAAAGAAGCCACATCACTGCCCCTGAGCCAAGCTCCCAAAAGCACTTGTCTGTCCTGATGTCTGAACACCAGCCTGTTTTCATAATCAATTTCATTGTGACAGGATGAAGACATCAATAAAACTAGAGAAAAAGTGGGAAAAAACCAATGTAATTCTACACAGTTTTCAAAAGACTAAGAGGAAGAATACATCTGGACTAATCCAAAATGCAAACATTATCCAACTGCAATGATTGAAGAAATCAAATTTCCACATGAGCAATAATATAAAAATCAAACTAAATTTTGAAACAGGATATTCTTCAATAGGTGAATGTATGAGTAAACTGTGTTGTATCTCTGAGAAACCTGAGCCTGGATCAAGGTGCAGCTATTTTAGAATAGGCCTCCATCTTGTAACTCAGGCCTGACCGGCCCTGAACCCTGAAGCTCATGAAAGAAAAAATAAATAAATGAACTCCCCTTGCAATAAACCCTGCCTAGCAACAGCCAATCATCAGATAGCAGGGAGATACCTAAAGTTCAGGTGTCTTTTCAGGCACTTAAGGTAATTGATAATATCCTGAGACCCTGCAGTTTGGCACATATGCCCTAGTGGCTCAGACCCTATACTTTAGCCAATCATTTTAAAAGGCATCAACCCCAAAAGCCACCCACCACTTTTAATAGGTCCATGCCTGCCACTGGATGCACTAATCAATTTAAGAGATGTTCTTTGAATTTCCCATGGAATGAGATGATTTGCTGAATGGTGCTAGAATGTATAGATTGTCTCTGAAAACCCTATAAAAACCCCATTAACTGAAGTTGGGGCTTTCAACCAGACCCATGGCATCAGTGATAGTTGATCGCCCAAGCCCAGACCTGCAATAAAACTCATGTGTTTTACAATGGTATAGGCCCCTTGGTGGTCTTTGGGGACAATCTAAGTGGGCATAACATATCATACAAAAATTTTATTGCTAAAGGAAATGAGCTCACAAATCACGTGGTCCATTAGGCATTTTACACGACATCTTGTTTCAACAGCCTGAACATGCAGATGAATATCTGAGAGATGGGATAACTTCAGTCAGAGTAAAGTTAAGTTTCAAGATAAAGTCTGGGACCTGGCACTGTGGTGTAGTGGGCCTAAGCCTCTGCCTACAGTGCTGTAATCCCATGTGGGCTCCAGTTTGAGTCCCTGCTGCTGCACTTCTCATCCAGCTCTCTCCTTTGGCCTGGGAAAGCAGTGGAAGATGGCCCAAGTCCTTGGCCCCTGCACCCAGGTGGGAGACTCGGAATGAAGTTCCTGGCTTTGGATTGGCCCAGTTCTGGCCATTTGGGGAGTAACCAGCAGATGGAAGATCTTTCTATCTGTCTCTCTTTTTCTCTGTCTGTAACTCTACCTGTCAAATAAATAAATAAAATCTTTAAAAAAAAAAAAAAACGATAAAGTCGGCCTGATTTTGGACAGGCAGAGTAAGACAGTGAGAAAGAGAGAGACAGAGAGAAAGGACTTCCTTCCATTGGTTTACCCCCCAAATGACCACTACAGCCAGTGCACTGCTGCAATCCAAAGCCAGGAGCCAGGTGCTTCCTCCTGGTCTCCCATGCGGGTGCAGGGCCCAAGCACCTGGGCATCCTCCACTGCCTTCCTGGGCCACAGCAGAGAGCTGGACTGGAAGAGGAGCAACCGGGACAGAACCGGCACCCACCTGAGACTAGAACCCAGTGTGCTGGTGCCACAGGCAGAGGATCAGCCCAGTGAGCCATGGCACCAGCCTGAGTAGTAGTTTTACCATTAATTCACATAGTACAACACATTGAGGACAGAGATCCTACATGGGAAGCAGGTGCACAGTGATTCCCATTGTTGATTTAACAATTGACAGTCTTATTTATGATGTCAGTAATCACCCAAGGCTCTTATCTCAAGCTGCCAAGGCTATGGAATCCTCTTGAGTTCACAAATTCTGGTCTTATTTAGATAAGGCCATAATCATAGTGGAAGTTCTCTCCTCCCTTCAGAGAATGGTATCTCCTTTGATGGCCCATTCTTTCTGCTGGGATCTCACTCACAGAGATCTTTCATTTAGCAACCTGGTTATTTTTAAAGTAACAAGCTGATATAAGTGCATATGAAATGCAAAGAATCTAGGATAGCCAAAATAACTCTGAAAAAATAATAAAATCAAAGGGATGATTTTTAAGTGTTATAAATTTATACTAATCTAAAGTGTGCTGTTGTCATACAGAAAGCCAGATGACTGGAACACAAAAGAGGTTCCAGAGAAGATCCAAACACAAACAGTGAACAGGTTTCTACAGAGGCACTATTGCAGTGCAGGGGAGAAAGTATAGCATTTTCAACACTTGTTGTTAGCACAATGAGATACTAATTTCCAATAAAATAGCTTCTATTTACAAAATTGAAAATATGCCACAGATCTAACTGTAGTTCTGAAAACTACAATACTTCCAGAAAAAAAAATCATAGAAGAAATTTTTTTTACTTTAAGTTAGGCAAAGATTTCCTAGATACAAGAAAAATTAAAATCTATAATTGAGTACAGGGATAATTTACACTTAATCAAAGTCTAAAACTTCTTTTCTTCAAGACTTATTTATTTGAAAGGCAGAATTACAGAGTGGCAGATGCAGAGAGAGAGAGATCTTCCATCTGCTGGTTCACTCCCCAGATGGCCACAATGACCAGAGCTGGGCTGATCTGAAGTCAGGAGCCAATAGATTCTTCTGAATTTCCCATGTGGGTACAGGAACCCAAGCACTTGGGCCATCTTCTACTGCTTTCCCTGGCTATAGCATGAGCTTGATCAGAAGTGGAGCAGCCAGGACTCAAAGT